GTACGCTCCGTCAATTAACGTCAACATTCATGTTTCGTCGACACACGTTACTTTCTTTTCGCGTTGCATGTACCGCGCGCGATTCTCAAAATTTCAAGTCACGTCTGAAATTATTTTAGATGCCTTGCTTGGATCAATCGAGTATTTGTTCGTTTCGATAGATGGCCACCAGGTCGTAAAAACGGTGGGAAGAATTTGCGCGGGAAATGCAATACTTGCGACATTATCATGCTCGCGTAACTTAAACGAACAATAGAGGATTATTTATTCATGTGAAATGTAACTATTAGTTATAAATAAAATTCTACGAAAAAAAAGAAATAAAAGAAGAAAGACGAAAGGAAATAAAAGAAAAAGAAGAAGACGGAAGACTAAATGATCGATTCGTTAGGAATATTTCGCGGAATAGGCGTATTATCTAGCATTGCAACGTTATTATATACACGTAATAGTAAGCAGTAGTAGAATAGTAATTAGAAATAGTAATTGGAAACGCACAATCACAGACAAGATACTGGATAGACCTAACGCGTGATATATTTTTGTGTTACGTCACAAGGGCTGAGAGTGTCCTTACCATTTTCGTGTCGCACCCAATGTTACCGATGGATTATTCTATAATTAAAGTACTTCAAAATATGCCATAAACTGTATTTTACTGTATCAGTAATGTTAAAGCAATTAAGAATTTATTACACGTATCAACGAGATATAATTAAAATAAGGGGGATAGCAACAGCGAAGAGAGACAAGGAAACGAATAGCGCTGGATAAGAGGATAGCACTATATGTAAATAGAGAGAAATGAGTTAGACAAGGAAAGCAATAGGGATAGATAAGGACGCCATCGAACGTTTGGTGACGGGAACTACGATTTTTTAATAGGAACACAGAATATAAACAGAGGTATTAGACAAGGAAAGTAATAGTGTGCGAGAAGGATAGAGAGAAGACGTTCTCTATTGGCTGGCGGGCAGCTCAGCTCCACCTTCTGATGGCGGCCAATTCAACATGAAGTCGGCCAAGGGAAAATCATTAATAACTCAAAAATTACGATGATTTTGTGAACTTTTAGGATTGAATAATATAGCGTGGATCTTTAGCTACTTTCACATGTAGCTTTTACTGCAACAGACCCTTTCGATAATTAGTTATTAACAATTCTAGTACGTGATGTCGGAACGGTACCACATGTCTTGACGGTTTTTCAATAATTTCATAGTTTTCTCCTAAATTCTCATACAACTAACTGTATTCAACTGAAAGGCAACTCTATTAACTATATTCTCATATAATTTTTATCAACATTTTCGGTTTAGTTTAGGAGTTATTAAACATTATACGAGACAGTCCCCTATTCTTCGTACTTGAGTATCGTCAACTGTTACAAATAATTGCTAATATTTAATAAACCATACCACGTACGGTTACCAAACTAATTGTAGAAGATAAATAAAAGTCCATTTTACATTCTCCATACTTCAAAGTGCACAGTTAATCATGCGTTACTTCCAAAGAATGTTTAATAACTATTGAACTAGAGGGAATATGTTAATAGAGATTAGACGAGAAAGTAGCCAAAAGAGTTACCTTTCAGATGCGTATAGTTACGTGTGCGAGAATTTAGTAGAAAGCTATGAAATTATTGAAAAACCGTCAAGACATGTGGTACCGTTCCGACATCAGGTACAAAAATTATTAATAACTAATTATCAAAAGGGCCTAGAGCATTAAAATCTATATGAGAAACTAGCTAAAGGAATAACCTTTCGAACCCCTATACGAAAATGCATAAATTATACAAGTGAAGGTACGAAATTAATGAAAAACCGGAAGAGACTGCCGCGACATGTCGTACCGTTTCCGACATCACGTACTAGAATTGTTAATAACTAATTATCGAAAGGGTCTGCTGCATTAAAAACTATATGTGAAAGTAGCTAAAGATCCACGCTACATTCTTCAATCCTGAAAGTTCACAAAATCATCGTAATTATTGAATTATTAACGATTTTTCCTCGACCGACTTGATACAGCGCGTGGGAAGTGTAGCTGTGCGGCCAGCGGACCAATAGGAAACATTCTCCCTCTGTCCTTCTCTCACACTAGCGCTTTCCTTGTCTAATACCTCTCTTTATATTCTGTGTTCCTATTAAAAAATCGTAGTTCCCGTCACCGTACGCGAGATGGCCATTGAAAATTTTCCTTCTATGTCTAGCAACTCATTTCTCTAGTGCTATCCTTGTCTTCCCCGGACCTTCTCTCTGTCTAACGCATTTGTCTACCGTTATTCTTATTTACTGCTATTATATCCTCATTTCCGCTATTATTATATTTAATTGATATTTGCAATAAATACTGAATTACTTTAACATTACTAATAATGACGATATATAGTAAAATATAGTTTATGGCAGATTTCCCCCTTAATCGGTCAATTGGACGATATCACTTGTACATATATAGGTTGTAAGTAAAATAAAAATCATGTACACGTGAAATCTAAATATAACGTATCATTGATATCATTTAAAAAAGATATAAAGAAATAACAAGCATCGATATGGCTGGCCGACGATGAGTTTGATGTGCAACGGTTGTCGATTGTCTTACGTCCAAGTCGATTACTGCTAGAGAAAAATCACAATCTATTTCTACGGAAACTGTCGGCCTGTTAAGGCGATGCCCGATAAGAGGGAGTTTATTGTACTTAAATAACAGAATAATCGGTAAGGGTCCTCTCAGCCCCAGTCCTGTACCACAGACGAGATATAGGGTAGACCAATCATCTTGTGGTACATTTTGCCACACGATCTGAAACACCGACGAATACGTTTAAGCTGGCGGTTTAAGCAGACGTTTAATGAAGAAATGCCTAGTGTTGTTGATTTGAATTCCTACCGGAAATAGCGCGGTGATATAATACTGGTATTGATCGATACAGTAGGACGGACGATGGTAACGGGGTACTTGGACGAGTGGTCTACTCTACCGTTACCACCGAACTACGCTTTCTCTTTACCTACGACGGAGGGATCTCTACAATTATCCTATACTCTTGTTAACCAAATCGTTAACCAAAACAACTTGTTATTCTCTGTCTTAATCTTTTTCTTTTTTCCAATACTTGCTCCTCGCGTATTCTGTATTTCTGTCAAGTTTGGGAGATTTTCAAGTGAAAATAATCTCCGACTTGGAAGAGTAGGTATGTAAGTAAGCAAGTAGCTGAGTGTACGTTCCCGTTGTCGGCGGAGGAAAAGTAGCAGAAGCGTATAAGTAGCGTACGGTAGAATAGCAAGTAGCTCCTGGCGCATTCTACGATCCTATCGACCGAGGCGGTATTCACAGAGCAGAATTTCATGCTGCGGATATACCCTCCGTAAAAGCGGAGGGGTGCACCGTCGCGACGCGGCGACACAGTACGTTGCAGCAGTTGTACCCCGTGGCGTCGTCTCGGTATCGTCGCGGAATTCGGCTGAATAGAGAGATCAAGGGGGAATAATTGACGAGGCGGGAGATTGTTTTGAGGTTTTGTTTTTGTTACGACGGCGACGAGGACGTGGTGGGTGGTACGGTGGTGGTGATCGAAAGAAAGGGTTCGACGAGGCTGGACCGATACATACTGGGAGAACGGCGGAGCGGATCTGCGCGTTGGCTCGTTTCCGCTCCTTCGTGATAACGTCACTTGGAGCATGTGTAGAAGGGAGGAACTGGACTTAGTTCGATACCGGACGCCGAGGCGTTCGGCCCGTCCAGAACCGTTGCTGTCTCTCCTCCGATATCTTCGTCTTTCTTGCACGCGTTTTATTCGCCGCAAGGATCAGCACCGCGAGCATTTCGAAGGCAGAATCGTCGGACAGGTTTGTTGTCGGTGTGGTTCGCGATATGCGTACTTTTCAACTATTCTCGAAATCACGCATCCCCTTCTGGTATATACGCAAGCAAAAGAAGAGGGAAATCATTCACCGTTGCTTCTCCTCGCGAAAGGGAAAACGGTAAGACGTCCTAACGAAAATTGCTAAATTGCAGAATCGACGACGACGTATAAATTGGTAAAGAGATTTTATATAGAGAATGCGCGACGGAAGCTGCACAAGATTGTTTGTAAATATTTTTAGCGTCGGCAAGTATGAAACGTAGCGGAAAATGTTTACAGCGAATTAATCTAGCGTTAATGAAATTATACACCTTTTTGTACGAAAAGATCGTGCACGCTCCAATTGCTACCGCTCACAGGACAGCATTTCCGCGCGTGTTCCAATACCTTGCCATAAATAAAAAGGAGAAGAAGATGGATTTTATACGATTTTACGTGCGAGAAAGAAAGAGAGGGAGAAATGGTTTAATTGGTTGTGTGCACAGCGAGGACACGAAGAGGAGGCGAATACGGAGAGAAATAGATACGGGTCAATAGGCTAGCAGCCGGGGAGAAAAGTGGGCGAGCGAGCCCATGGCCGGGAACTCTTTCCGCCGGCTTTGGACGTGGATCTCGATCGTGGTCCTGCCAACCGGGTGCTTGCTCTCTTCTTCCACCACCGAACAGCCTCCGTGCGTTTCTCCGTACTTCTCCGATAGAACAGAGAACGATTGCTCGTTCAACCAGTCCTCCGGCGAAACTGGCACGGAGGAAGTGATGGTTTTCTTGAGAGAGCGTTGCGACGCCACCGAGACGCTCGACGCGACGGATATTCACCGGTACTTGGATCGATCCAACTTTGACCTGCAGATCACCGTTGTACCTCTCTCTCGTGAGTACTCTCTCCCTGAGTAGTGCCGTTCGTGAGTATTCTCTGCCTGACCGTTCCGTCCAATTCGACAGTGTCGTGCGAAACGAAAACTTGGGGCCTCGATGCCCTTCTACACCTGCTCGGCGAAAGAAGAGCCAAAGCTCTCGTAGCTGCCCTCGACTCGCCGATGTGCGAAGTGATCGCCAAACTCGCCCATCTCTGGAACATGCCGCTCCTCACGTGGACCTGCCCTTTGGTAACTTGCCCTTCTAATTGTAAGGAAGGAATTCGATTATCGCTCGCTGACACTAAACGCGATCGTTCCAGAAAGATTCCGAGGAAAGGGAGTTCTCCTCGATCGTCCGCCTCTCTCCCTCCTTGCCAACCATAGCGAAAGCTCTGGCGGAGATGTTGACGCGGTTGCAATGGAAAACGGTAGCGGTGATAGGAACAGGTAGGCTTCTCGATCTCTCATCACCGTTCCCTTCCGAAATTGACCGCGCGCACCTTCCAGATCGCGAACCATGGACGAGCCTCGAGAGAGCACTCTTCAATTCCCTGCAAAGCGTCGGAGCTGTGATCCGACACCGCGCCACCTTACCGCATCGAGCCACGCTCCAGCAAATTCGAAAAATTCTCCGCGCGATGTACAATGTGTCTCGCAGAGGTCGGTTGCCCGATCGATCTTTCAAAAAATTCCACATTTGCAAAGGTTCACCTCAGTTACAGTCCTATGTCTACCCGCGACCGACGACATAACGGTCCGCGTGCTCGCCGAGTTGGATGTCGCGCAACAATCCTCCAACTCCTCCTCCAACTCCGTCACTCTGATCGTTCATACGCAAGACGACGATCTCTTTCTGCCCAACGACACCTTTTCCAACAGTTTCGTCTCTCGTCCCGACTCTTTGGCCGACTACCGAGACGACAACGCGACAAACGCGGAGGAAGGGGACGGGGACGAGTTGGGGGACGAAGGAGAGATGGAGGATCGATTCTTCCCGCCGGGAAACCTGAGTTCGACGTTTCTCGAAAGACTGCTGGCGATAACGCCTCTGGATCACAGGTGCGGCAGAAACTTCTATCCGTTTTCTATCCGCAGAGAGAACGCAAACTGTTCCCCTTGTTTCGCAGGTACGACGCGGAGAAGGTGTTCCAAGGCGCAGAACGGTACGCGGTACCGACATTGATGGATCGTTTGAACGAAACTCTCGATATCTTGCTATACGATAATTCCAGTATAAATGCCTTTAACAACAAGATTTTCACGTACGTATTGCTTGAATGGCGCGCGAACGTTTGGAAACCGATAATGATCACCGTGGAACGACGTGGAGAATTGTCGGTCCGAAAATTGTCGGTGAACGCGGTGGCGTTCGGCAACACCAACGACGCTGCTGATCTTCCAAAATGCAACAACATCGTCGACGCAGACGAGCACGTTATCGATTGCACGGGGTATCGGTTCCTTTTTACCCCGTTTCAGAAGATGTCTCCAACGGATCATCGGGCTTTCGCGTCGCACACGTCGTCGCGATCGTTCTAGGATCGATAGTTGTAACCGTGCTCGCGATACTCCTGGTAATCTTAATCAGGTAACGAATCAATTTCTCAGCAAGTTACACACCGTTCATTCTAGTCGTACGTGAACGTAATCGAAGCGATGAACCGCAGGAAACGGTTACTCAACAACAGAATGTCCAGGGGTCCGTACAAGATCATTTTAACTACGTCGGACTTTGTATTTCCTCAAGTGCCTCGAGTAGATTCTAGGAGGGTAAGTTGAGAGGGTTCCGAGAAACGTTCGCTCGCGACGAAACAAAGTTCAAACTGCGCTCTGCAGGTGGATGAGGGTATCGAGACAATGTTGTGTTGTTGGTTGCAACAATTGCAAGAGTTTGGAGGACCGGAAGTAGAGAAGCCGGACTTGCTTCAACTGGGAAGCGTATCTTCGTTGAAGCCGTGTTTACGGGCGAGTACGGGAAATCTGGCGCGACCCAATTTCTTCAAAGAGCCCTGTGCGCGATACAACGTCAGTACTACATACCAGCGCTACTCCTCGCGCTCCACGCACCAAGTGCTTACCAAGTGGTTGTTCCGCAGGGTGACATGGTGCAACTGAAACAATTGCCCACTCAGGGTGGTACCTTCGAGCTGAAAGGCAAGGCAATGGACGTGTTGGTGATGGTAAGTACAATATAATAGTATAGATTCTCCAGCGTCGAATTTCGAGACGAAGCGGAGGAGCCCGCATTCACTCTTATTTCCGATACACGGGGGGCTAGATACACGGGCTCAGACACGAAAATCTGAATCCGCTGATAGGATGCTTGAACGAACCGACGAGACCGTACCTCGTCTACGAGTACTGTTCGAGAGGATCGTTGGAAGATGTACTGGTGCAAGACGAGATCAAGCTCGACTGGTCCTTCAGGTTATCCCTGCTTACCGATCTCGTCCGGGTAAACCATCCTCCCTTAACAATTCCCGCTGCGTACCATGCGTACCATTCGATCTAACGGTTACGGTATTCTTGTTGCCCCGATTGCAAAGGGGATGAGGTATCTTCACGGTACACCGGCGCGTGTACACGGTTATCTTACCTCGCGAAACTGTGTCATCGATGCTCGCTGGGTCCTCAAGGTAACCGACTACGGACTGCCGGCGTTTTACGAGGCTCAAAACACCGCTCCCCCGACTAAAATGGCCAGAGGTATTTAACAGAAGGAGGAGGAGTACTCCTGATACGTTTGCGGTAGATATCGGATAACCGTCCCCTCTGTTCTCGTCCCCGCCGTTAGATCTTTTATGGACGGCGCCGGAATTGTTGAGGCAACCGAACCTTCGAAAGAGAGGAACGCAACCTGGAGACGTTTACAGCTTCGGCATTATTATGCAGGAGGTGGTAGTTCGTGGAGAACCGTTTTGTATGCTCGCATTGTCCCCGGAAGGTAACGTTAACCTATACTCCTATCAGAGTGCACCGCTTTCATCCGTTTCGTATGCTCCTACGAGATAGACATCATCGAAAAAGTGATGAAACCACCGCCATTGATCAGGCCATCGGTGAGCAAAGGCGCCGCACCGCCGGAAGCGATAAATATCATGCGTCAGTGTTGGGCTGAAGCGGCAGATATGAGACCCGATTTCGACGACGTTCACGACCTATTCAAGAAGCTCAACCATGGAAGGTATGCGTTAATACCTTCGTTAATCTTACATCGTTACTCTCTCTTACATACATTCTTTCTTCAATTTCCTATCCTCAGAAAAGTGAATTTCGTCGATACGATGTTTCAAATGTTAGAAAAATACTCCAACAATCTGGAAGAATTGATACGCGAGCGCACGGAACAGTTAGACATGGAAAAGAAGAAAACGGAGCAATTACTCAATCGAATGTTACCCAGGTAAATGTTACCCATCTCTGTCCCTATTTCCATCTATCTCTATACATATGTATATTTCTATATGCCTGCCTGTTGTCAACGATCGATGTATTAAAGATTGCCTCTTTTGAGATTCGTGTATCAACGCACGATGACATTTTAGCTCTGTTGCCGAGAAATTGAAACTGGGCATGCCCGTCGATCCCGAAGAATTTCGAGAAGTGACTATCTATTTTTCGGACATTGTTGGTTTCACGACCATCTCTGCACATTCAACCCCATTCCAAGTAGTCGATCTTTTAAACGATTTATATACCTGCTTCGACGCCACCATCAACGCGTACACCGTATATAAGGTGATGAAGCCGATGCAATAGAGGCGGTACGATAGTCCAAGGCTATCGCTATTCCTGTTTCTTTCTTTTCTACTCCAACTTCTTTCTGTCTTCTATTACGATAAGACAGAACACAAAACTAACCCGCTGTTTGCCCGACACCCAGACACCTTGTCTCTTTCTTTCAATCGTTACAGGTCGAAACGATCGGGGACGCTTACATGGTCGTGGCCGGTTGCCCAGTCAGAATACCCGATCATGCCTCCCAAATAGCCACAATGGCTCTCGACTTGCTGCATCAAAGTGGCAAATTCAAGGTGAAACACCTGCCAAGGACTCAACTCAGGCTTCGAATTGGTCTACATACCGGTTAAGTACCTGCTTCCTCCCCTTTCGACCAGCTCAAGCTCAACTGGATCGTTCTCTTCCTACGCAGGCCCATGCTGCGCCGGTGTCGTTGGTCTCACCATGCCAAGGTACTGCCTATTCGGCGATACTGTCAATACCGCGTCCAGAATGGAATCGACCGGTGCACCCTGGCGTATACATCTTAGCCAGGCAACCAGAGATCGGCTCACTCGGGTCGGTGGATATCATATCGAATATCGCGGACGAACGGAAGTTAAAGGCAAGGGAAAGATGCCCACCTACTGGTTACTAGGAAAGCAAGGTTTCGACAAGGAACTTCCAAAGCCGCCACCTCTTGGGTAAGCCTTTACACCGCACCCCTTCCCCCACCCTCTCTCGTATCGTTTTAATCTTAACCTTCGTTCGAGCTGTTTGCTTTTATCTGTTGCCATACTGGTTCCGTATGGTATCATCTTCAGGGAAAACCATGGGTAAGTCCGAGGTTTAACGACCGCCTTCCTTTTATTCTCCATTTTCTATTTCCACGCTGACTAGCCTGAACGAGAGCCTGTTATTGGAGAATTTAACCAAGGAGGAGTCGATCGTATCGCCAGACGACAACCACTCCAACCTGGATTTGCCCTGCGATCGAACAAAGGGGCAAGTTGAACGAGACGAGGACGTGGACGTGGACGTGGACGTGGACGTGGACGTGGACGTGGACGTGGACGTGGACGTGGACGTGAAGAACGCCGCGGAAGAGTCGGAGGCGTGCAAAGTCGCGGTGGTCTCTGTGCACGATCAACACCTGCTAGATTCCTCCGAGGAGAAGTCGAATGAAATCGAAAAGGACCACTCGGTTAATCCGACTAACATAACGAAAACCACTTCCGGCGATACTCAACCACCTCTAGGAACCACGTCCGGTATATTTAGCGCCGACGCAACTGTTCTTGGCGCCTCTACCACTTCCCTTACGTCCATTTCAAGCTCGACCACGGTCCCTTATAGACCGGTGCCGGCAAGGCATCGTAGGATAGCTGGCTACATCGACGAAAATGACTTGAGTACACCGTACAATCATTACAGGTGTCTTTCTCCAAACGAACACTACGGCAAGTCTTTTCCTATCTATATTTATTCTATTCGTCTCAATCTTAAATTACCCTCAATCCTACTTTCTCTCTCTTCTATCACGCAGGAAGAGCTACAGGTTATCGCTTCTTGAAGAGACAATTCAGCTTGGATCGTCCAGATGACGCCCCATTCACCGACCAGACTACTAATCACCAGCAGTTGCAACAACAACAACCGCAACACAACTTAAACGCAACACCTAGACTTTATAAACAAAACAGCGCCGGCGCGGCGAATGACTTGGAACGCATCGAAGAGGTACCGTCTACTCCAGGACCGCTGCTACAACACTACAGACAGGCAGCGTCCGTTTCTCTCTCCGTTGAATCTTTAACGCTCCGTTGAACGCGGTTGGTAACGTTGCCAACATTCCGTAAAAGAACGAGACGATCGGTGCACGCCAAAAGTTCGGTAAAGTTTACTCTCATTATCGCGGATGACAATCTCTCTTATTTACAATCCGACAGAAATGTTCGCGCGTGTGCATTTCCTCCTTTCACACTCGCTTTTTTATCCTTATCACTAACTATAAGTAAATATCTATCGAGAACATGTATATACGTATACACCCAAAAAAAGAGAACCCGTACAAATTGTCGATTGTATCACTTGGAAAGCAAACGTGAAACACCTTCGTGCATAAAATGCATCGAACAATGCTTCGAACAATCCTCCTACCGTTAAGATCGTTAACGCGCGCAATTTCGTGTGAAAATGCGAATATTTAGATTTCTATCCCCGTCCCCATCCCCATCCCCATCCCCATCACCATTCCCCACTCGTAATTAAGAAAAAGACTTTTACTTTGTTCATAAATATACAAGATATTTTCTAAGTAATCCGAATCGTCGACAATAATTCGAAAACTTACGATTTAGCTACCTTCTCCTTCCTCGTACTAAATGAAAATAACACGTTTCGAGATTAACGATAAACAAATTAACAAATGGAACAGCGTTTCATGCGGCAAATAAATTACGAAAAAATGATACGCGCCAAACTGTTTCGTGTGATTATGCAATAATCTGTGTGTTAGATGTATAAGTAAGTGTATATATGTATAGCGGAAATATTAAATATGTATAGATTATAGTAACGTGGCGGACAAGTTTCTAGAAAATTTTCAACTATTTTCTCTCGTTTCGATACTCTTCGACATGTTAAGCGTGGAAAAATCAAGGTATACGATTCTCTTCCCTTCCATTGTGTTGCTTTCTTTCCAACCATATTTATTTTTCGCCAAAGTACTTGAATGTTTGTATATTGTAAGATAAATATCACTTTCTTCTATTGTTTCTAAATTGTTGAAGGTACGCGTACCTGCCTGCCTGCCTGCCTGCCTGCCTCTCTATAGTACTTGTCCTTTAAACAAACTGCCCCCAGATATGGTATACATATAACTGTTTCTTCGAATCAACACCCAATGGTTGGCCCATGGTCAATTCCAGACGGCTGATGGATGTTTTTCATATCTGGTTTATGCAGTAGGTACTTTTTCATATTACCAAGCCCTGTGAGAAAATATAAAAGGGAATTTATTGGCATAATACGTAAGTAGAGGAGAAAGAGCAAAAGATGTACCCGTACGGAGAAGGATCCTTATACTCGGCATGTATCGGTTTCACAATCGGACTTGGTCTCTCCACGATCCTCTCGATGAAAATAGGTTTCTCAACGTACTCGACGTACTTCACGGATGATGCAGGAGGCGGTGATAGATACACGTGACGAACTTGTGGAGCAGAATAATACGCAGCTTTGTACCCTTTCACAGCGCCTAAACCAAAACCCAAAAGTCCTGCACCGAGCAGCTTCTTCTTTAACAAAAGCGTCCTCTTTTGTCTGTTCAACGTCGCTCCTGCATTCCCTTCGTTCTCCGCTTCGACGGTAGCACGATCGAAAGTCGCGAAACGATCCACTTCCGACGGTGAAGCATTTTCTTCGGCCATGGTACGCGGTACAACCGCAAAGTAACAACAAACAACGGCAAGCAGCATGGTGATAGTAATCGAATGCATCTGTAATGGGAGCCACATGGGAAACGTTAGAAACGAGCATTACAGATGTCTACGATACCACTTACCGTTACACTTCAAACGTCCACGAACAAAGATATCCAACGTACAAGGCGCGTCGACGACTAGCGTGTGTCATCTTTTCGGCAGTCCCCTTTGATTTTATACACAGTTGCCTACCTTCCAACTAGCCAATTCTCCCCCACCTCTGCCACAGCCAGTTCCTTACTTCTTTACTTGCAATCGCGTCTTCCTCCTTAAAAACCTAAAACACACGCTCGCGCACCTTACAGTACTATCCTAGTTCAAATCGGATCGAAAAGAATTCCCTTTACACGTCGGTTTTCACCCTACCTCTCGACGGCCTATTTATTATAATATCGAAACATTCTCATATAAGTACGGACGTACTTCCGCAATGACGACGTTACGTTCAACGTAATACGTAACAACACCTTGTTGCACCTTCGTACAATCACGAACGAACCTCGAATGATAATGAACCTAGTCCCGTCGGTATACCGATATACGTTAGTTGGATGAATGGAACGCGACATATTATGGTATCGTTGAGTAAGAATACTTTTCACAAATTTCGTACTCTCACCTTGCTTCCAATCATTGCGTATTCGTCCACGACAAATCTATCTCGCAATATTGTTCACTTCGTGCTTTACCTTTCAACGAACCGATTGCCCAATCTTCGCCGTACTCGAGTTTTCCAACAGAATTTTTAACCAACCAGCCGTCACACCCGTCCAAATTCATTATCGTGTCACACGTCACGAGTGAAACTCACAACTATCGAATCCTATTTAAACGGAAACGCGAGCGGCTACTACTCTTCATTATCACTTACTCGCATCTAGCGCGCATCTAGCTCGAATTAGAGAGAAACTTGTATTTCTTTCATTCAAATATATTCTCCTCCTCTTCTTCTTCTCTCTTTGGCTCGTCGTTTGTCTTTTATTCCTCGACATACACGTGCATAACACAAGTATCCGGACGCCTGGCAAATCTTAAGAAAATTCCTACTAATTGAAAGGTCTGTTATCATAGAACAACTATTTTTATTACACTTTTATACATATACAATGTATCGTATCGATGAGCATCAATCTCCTCTTGACTCCTGTTTTCAGTTTGACATTAAGTGTGTTAGGGGCTGTTGAAGGCGAGTCACTCAAGATTTAGTAAAAGTATCTTATTTATTATATACAACAGATCTTTCAATTAACAATTAACCAATCTTGTTGTCAGCCAGGTGTCCGGATACTTATGGTATCGAGCACATCTGCGAACAAATGAAATTCTTTTTGAAAGATTGAAAAGCAAAGTTTCGTATCGCAATAGCGCTGTTTAACCTTACTCACCGATATACCACCCATCTTTAATCCCAACTTGTACTCGGAACGTAACCGTAAACGGATGGCGCATCGTGGTTGTACTCACTCACGTATCCACTTCCGTAATTGGTGCTGTACGTGTAATCGGTACATTGAATCGGCAATGTGAAACATGTAATAGGATCCAACTCACTTTTTCACTTTGTACAAAGCAGCTCCGACGAGTCCAGCACCAGCGAGAACTTTAACACCAACCACAGCACCACCGAGCAGAAGCGCTTTCTTACCAAGTAGGGGAGCTCTCTTCACTCGAATTACTTTTTCTCCTGCATCTCCTTCCGCTCCGTTCTTCTGAACCTCAACGAAACGCTCTTCTATCTTCCCATACGCGATCGGGAATAACGCGCGAGTATCATCAGCCAGCAGTAATACCGCCAGCAACAGCAAGCAGAGCGATTTCATCTGCAACAGTATGCGAGAAAATTGTTAAAGGTGAACAGCACACGATTAATTCCACCGACGCTAACCTCGACAAAATTCGTCGACTCGTTACGAACATGCAAAATATTCCAATGCTTCGACGCCAATCACTTTTATATGTACGAGAAACCCAGATTTTTATCCCTTCCACGTAACGACGCGTCTGCTGGCTTCAGTTTGAAAACCGGAATTCACCAATGTCCTTCTCCTCAGCCTCTTAACAACTACAATCTTTGTTTAACCCCTCCTCCCGCTTTCTCAATCTCGTGCCACTCAACTCAACTCGTCTCGTTTCGTCACATCACATCGCATCTCATCTCGCAATTCCTTTAAAACCTTCCATTTTCTTATTTCTTTCCTTCCCCTTTTCTCTCCTTAGTCTAAAAACTATCGTATTTCCTCCCAACGCGATACATGTTGCCGGAAACGACAAGTTTACCAAAGCTTTCCGCTGCTACCAAAGTTGCTCGAAAATTTCAAACGGAACAGCCGAACGACCATATATCAACCATCAGCTTTCACTGAACGGTGCTATATAACCTTCGAAATATCAGGTTATACCAGCAGGTATTAACCGATTAAAACCGAATGTCGCTGATAATCGATTGTTCGTAACGAGTCCTTAAAGAGGAGAAGGAGAAGAACCACGAAATGGCTCCGAAACGGAAACGAAAACCACAGAGAGATAAGACCAATCGAGATCTCAATAGAGAAACTCTGTTCCGCGAAATTAATCGCAGCGGTTTCGGCACGGAACGCTATCTTCCTTTTTCCAGAGAAATGGTTGCACGTGTAAAAATGCCAGACATCGAGAGGAAGGTCGAAATGGCTTGGCAGACTTTGGAACATGCCATCGATCTCAAGGACTACCGGTACAATGTCACACGTATAATCCATGGGAGTTATGAAATTTACATTATGGAAATTTCCTACGGTTTTACAGCATCAGTTTGCTATTGGACAGTTTGCAAGAGGCCCAAGAGCAACGTCGAAGTGCGAACAATGCCCACGTAGAGATAATCGATCGAACGCTACTGGCGCATCAAGCACGGCTGCAACGCATCGATACGCTCTTTTATGGAAACCTCGAGACCACGTTAGCCCACAAAGTTCGTCGACTGAAAGATATCAACGATTGCCAGAACGAAGAAGAAATTGCTTTACGAAAAATCAACTTGCTCGTAAATTATCGTGGTGTAAATGCCTCGAGCGTCGCAAGAAGTACCGCGATCAGTAAGATATCATAAATACTCCATAAAATTATCCTCTTCCTCTTCACAACCAAAATGAAAGCTACTCCCTCTTCTTCTCCTCCCGTTCCAACTCATTCGACAAACAACATCACCGCGATCCAATTATTTAACACTGCTCTCACTGCTCAAGGTAAAATCGACGCTTTTATGGAAGACGGAAAAAATGAAACAAGGATTATTACCACGCAACTGCAGAACAAACTCGAAAATCTTTGGAACCATTTGCGAAACATTTTCTCTGATTATCTACAAAGTGCGTTCTTAACCTGGACCACCTTACAAATATTTATCCTACGTTTCGTTCTATCAGGAACCCAAGATCGACGAAAGGCCTACGAAACGATTAAGAAGAAGGACGAGGTCGATTTGCAAACGATAACTCGACAATACCTGCGTACCGCCACTCTTCTCGAGGAAACTGCCAAATTTCGAGAAACAATTCATTCTTACAGGATCGAATCTGCGATCCGTATACGGGAAATCACGCAACAAGCAAATTCCTTTCATAACATCTACCGAGAAACGAACCAACGCTTCGCATCCGGTACACCACACCTTCACCACCTTACTCCCTTCTCAATCACACAGGATTAATCGCTGTAATGAATCATTTATTAGGGTGCAAAATAGATAAGCATCGAATAACGAGCATGTCTAAAGAATACAGTCGTACCGTAGAAAACTTAAAAGGGTGGACGATGAAAGCTCAACGTATACTCGCTTTAGTGAAAATATCCCGAAAATACGAGACGCAAGATGAAAAAATACTTCCAACGATCGACTGTCATCCTGCGCTGCAATTACCTACCACAGAAATCGACGTTCCTTTACTCGAAATGGTTACAACTTGATTCGCTGCTTCCTTCCTTTCTGATACATTCCTATTGGAAATCCTTCAAATTAATCATTGCCACGACAAATCTCTCTTCTAGGCAACCAAGGACTTTCAAAATTCAATTAACTTTTGGCGTCGACTGGGCTTTGCACAACTAATCGCCAGAGAATTACGTATCGAGAAAGATCGTTTGTCGATGCACGCAAACGGTTTACAAAAGTTGGCAAAACGTTGCCTTATCATCGACCAACCGAGTCCTCCCCCACTATGTCGTCATATCTTCATAGATTAATAAATATTATGACAAAGGTTTATTAAAAATTACTTTATTATTATCATCATCATCATCATCATCATCATCATCATCATCATCATCATCATCATCATCATCATCATCAATCATCAATCATCATCATCCTCCTCCTCCTCATCCTCGTCACCGCCGTGTCAAATTTATCAACCTAACCTACCTAGCGAGCATAGACCTCGCTATACCAACTATACTTTTACCATCTCTACACTTATGTCGTACACAGTTCAGATTATAGTTATACTCATATTAGGTCGGAATAAGGGATGAAACAAGTCAAGTGCACAAAACTTTCAATTTTTTACGCATTCCTGTAACACATGTATATACTAAACGATATACCATCTTGTTACCAAATAAAATTCACAACATCTACAGCAATTCGATACAATCGCAAATCTCGCTTGTTTCGCGTATAATTACAATAGAAAACAGTATTGCTATTGCTCGTGTCGATCCAAATTTTACGCTACAATCAACGCGATAAACATTATTCGTTACGAAATACCCATGATAAAACCAGAGTTCCTTTATATTATCTCCTTCTTCCGTTTAGTTTATTTCCCATCGTATAATTCGATCCAAGAACGCCAGTCTTATGTTTTTCCTCTTCTGCTCTAATAAGTTAATGTGATTTATGTTTATGCGCTATACGTGATAACATTTTATTGCCTGCGAGGAACGTTACGACCCCAAGACCGAGGAGGTATCGAAGGGTAACGAACATGTTCAATTTTAGCCAAAATATCCCGAAAAGTATGAAAATACCTGAAAAGTGTAAAAAAGAAAACGATATAGTTGAATCGATTAACGAGTATTCTTTCGAATGTCGTCGTAATCGTCTACATTTTTCAACAATGTCGCGAACATTGGGCTACAAATGCAATATATACAAATGCAATTACATTTGCGAAAATTTCACCGTTTTTTTTTATGCCCGATTTTAATAACAAATTAACCAAAGCATCGCAATCTGTCTAGTATCGGGCGCCTTATATATATACATACATGATCGAAATACTACTCACTTCCCAGTCCGAGATGAAATGTAACAGCGCTAAGTGAAAACGGAAAGTTCGATATGTTTACTCCAAGTTTAGCCCATAATAGAAGCAACAAGAGAACCGGTGCTAAACATAAGCCTGTAAATAGGTTCGAAACAAAGGCCGGAGGTCTTTTCTCAGGTTCACGGAACATGTGCTGCAACATATTAACGTAGATACATTAATACACACCGGGTATATACTTCGGCGCGATACGCTAACACGTAGTGTCTCTTAAACAGAGATCAAGTTTGCAGAAATGTCCCCGCCGTCCGAGTGCTCGGATCGATAAATATTTCAGATAGTATTCCATTTCGAACAATCGAAACATATATACTCAGCGGCATTATTTCTTTTCCAATGTTATGGAGGTGACAGAATCTCGAAACATTTCCTCTCACTAACGAACATTGGTTTTTCCATGAATTTAATAATTAGTCAAATTAATTAACGCACCTACTAAAAACCGATAACAATCAAAACAGATAAACGAAAAATCAGAGAATCACCGACACTTTTCATACCTGTATTTCCGGTTTGGTAGTATAGACGTTCGACTTGTACTTGTAAAACACACTTTTATCTACCCCCCGTTCGGTCAAGGTCCGTTCAGGGAACTTCAAATTAACTGTTGCCACTGTCCATTGGAAGGGGTTGCTCAACACTGCATCACCAACTATTAATTCCACGTTGTAGTCTCCGCTCTGATAATCGAAATTCACCGCCGCAGTTCCAACTGGCTGAAACATTTCGACAAACGGCCAACCGATAATATATTTTCATACAGTGCAACTCCAATTTCAACTTGGACCTAACAGAAACCACAAACAATTACCATGTCGAACTTATACAGATGCGATGTATCTGGTTCAGCGACGAAAACAATTTCCTGTCCCTTTTTACTACTGTCCTTTGAATCCGACGCGGAAGAAAGCCGCACGAATGCTTGATGCGTGCGCATTGACTTTTTATTACCGCCGTCTTTCAATAAAAATCGCATAACCAACTTTTGTTGAGAGTCGGCTTCCACCTTTTGCGATAACTTCTCCGGGAAAATAACTCTGTAATCGGGGCAGTGTTAAATTCATCCACATATTTCCATTACATTTCAAACCGACGTAAAGCCGACTTGAAGCCGATATAAAACCAGACGCCACACGTTTCAATTAAATTACCGTTCAAGCTTTGGCTGAGTAGTTTGATCAGCATCAGCGGTTCCAATTTCCATGTGATCTACCACTACCTCGCACAAAACTTTTACCCGAACTGTATTCGTCACCGATCCTGCAGTCACTGATATCTTATAAAATCCACGTTCCGGTTTCATTTCCATCAGGTTCATCGTATATAATGTTCTGAAATAGAACGAATATACGATTAAAACCTTTTCCAACACTTCTCACTTTCAAGTAACAGTACGAGGAAAAAATCTGTCTGTTCAACTTCTTGATCTTCTTCGTGAGTCGAATGAAAGATCAAAGGGTCGTGTGAACGACATTTCTTTACCCCAAGCTATAACCGACTTCGAGTAAACATCTGACCGAATCGGTAAAGTATTGGGGAACACTGATCAAATTTTAATGCTCTGTCCACTCACTTGTCTGCTGGTACAGGCTGCAAACTTTGCTTATTGAACAGAACAACATCGTCTCCGACTCTCGTTGCTGAATTTGCAATCACTTTGAACGTCCCGGTTACCGGATTCCCTAGTATGTCACAGACTTTTACCGTCACCAAAGGCTGTCGTGTAGAAATGCTAATTTCTTCATTGGCTAACGTTACGCACATCAGTTTTTCAAAATCGTTATTTGCCAAAATCATTAACGCGGAAAGTAAACTTGTAACGCCCCTTGGTGTTTGCACAGAACGTCGTGATAGGAGATAATTTGCCAATTTAACTGTCTGCTGGGACGTTAATGGTGGTTTCTTTTTCAGTGTGCTCGACAGTTTCAAAATACCGTTTACTAGGAAACCTGAGAATCAAATAGGAAGAATTACCTTACTATATCCTGTGTCCGTTTATTAATTAATTCACTGGTTAAACGATAATTGCGATTCCTTTCGCAAAGGAATTCAACGACGCCTCGTTCATCCTGCAAAATTCCTACAGCTAACACTTACTTGTTACAGACAGACCACCCTCGAACTGTAAATACTGTCCATCTACTTCATCAGCTTGAATAATGGCGTCCTCGATGCGATCAAATGCAAACGCACCGCTTGTTCCAAGGTCTGAGGCGATGTGAAAAGCATAACCCAAGCTGTTTGTAAAACATCCAATTAACAATAATTACAACTCGGCCATTTATTTCTCTAGGTTTAAAATATCATCGAAGTGAAACGTACTTCCATATATTGTCGTCTTTTCTTAGCGCATTTTGTACCGCCCTTATTATTTTATCCACTTTGTCACGCGACAATTTTTCCGACAAAGCAGTCAAGCCATTTACCGCGTAGTATAATTCCACCATATTCGAAGTATCCTTCTCTATTGCGTTCGTCAACACCTATTTAGATGAAACAAATTCTCGTCAATATCTTTGACAACAGACTAATGCATTACTAATGCGTATAGTAGAATCTTCATTCAGTAAATGTAATTATTCTTCAAAATAGAAATTCGGTAGAACGAAAGTTTTTAACATCATTATATCGAAATACAATATTATATCGCGAGCCGTATCATTCAACATTTTATATTTTAGTTTTTAGAAACAAGTACCTTTGCTATATTGGATGGAGGATTAGCTTGGCAATTTCCCATCACATGCCACGTAGACGCGATATGAAAAGCTTTTTCCATTGTAATATTATTACCATTGTTTAGGACTTTTATCAAGAAATCACAAATGTCCTAAAAATCATAGAAACAAATTGTTAATTTATCATCCAGTGATTTTCAAATGTTTCATCATACAAGTAATATTATCAGTAAGACTAATCGAATAATCATTATGTTTCAATTATAACTATATTTCATCAAGTTACATAATGCACAACATGATAGGAATCAAATTTCTCGTTAAATAAATAACGATGTGGTTCCTCACCTGTTTGTTCGGCAAATTTTCTCCGAGAAACGTATATCCATGGACTGCATAATACGTAAACGTTACATCATTGGACGTTAAACCTGGTTCAAGGATCTTCTTCAAATGTATTCTATCAGCCGTTGTTAAATATGGATTTGTCGACTGTATTATATCGGAGGCTGAGTAGCAAGTTGTTAAACCAACGATCGCGATTAACAATGGTAAAACTGAAAAATAATGCAACAGCATTATGACACGCTTTGCATAAATGCTTTTATCGACGATATCGATTGTTATCGAAGATAGAAAAAGATTGTAGAAGAAAATTTTGCACAGTTTAACCTCTTAGCTACCATACGCCACTATAGTGACTTTCGTGTAGGTTATCTTTTTGAACGGTACGCCACCATTAGTGGATTTCGCGTACGTTACATTTTCGAACGGTATTATTAACGTTAACGTGTTCGTATTATCTTATTATGTTTCTTTCAAACCCTTTACCATGAAAATATATAAAGAAATTATAATTTATTCATCTATAACTCATCTAGTTTCAAACTATAATTGCACTCGTTTTTTCAATGGTACTCTATGATAATTTTTTTTTCTTTGCATCAATCGATTCCTCGTGCGATTCTGAATGAAAAAGTATCAGCGTGCAATCGTGAAAAACTCAATACTTGTCGAAATATTTACCTCTATTTCCAGCATCTACTACGGTAAATGTTCAACCATTGCATTCTAAACATTTTCTTACACTTTTCATCACACTGTTCAGTTGTTCTACTAGATACACCCTGTACAAAGCGTTTCCTTCGAACCTGTTCAAGGTATTAACTAATCAAAGTTACATTATTCAATTAGACGATACACAGATTTTCGACAAACGAATTAACAAAGTAACCGCAAGGATCGAAACAGTAGTAAGAAAAAGTGTAACGAACGAACAACAAACCACCACTCACCAAGTATATAACCAAAGCGTAAAAAAATGGACACGTAATTTGGTATTGCGTGAAAATATGAATAACTATAGATATTCGCATCTAAATGCATATAAGGGAAGAAATTCTGAAACAATACACCATTAAATAATACCCACAAATATTCATGATGACGAGAATACCGGGCACGCCAGCTGCCACGTTGCTGCTCCGAACAAAATGGCTCTTCACCCATTGCGCGTGTACGAAAAAATGGACGATCCATCGCTCCGGAAGTAGTTGGCAAAACGAACTTACGTCTTATAGAGCGCATGCGTACAAACTGTACGACAGTACTGAACTTATCAATAGTTGATTGAAAATGATTGGCATAACCGCTGTAAATGACAACCAATTATAAGATGTTGAATTGCACAATTTAAAATCGGAGTCATACTTTCTTCGCAATATAAATTAGTTTTTCGACTTCTTTACTCGTAATTGCTATTACTTATCCAAAAATATTCCACGAAAAATGTCATAATATTCTCAATCTTGAAAATTTCTAAGGAATGCACAACTGCATTTATATTCGCAGGTGTGTTTACGCGATACGAGTTCTCATATGTAGGTGCACAATGTGATTGGTTCTAGGGATCTTGATTCAAAATATCAAGTACAATTAGTAACACAGTTCTGTCGATGACGTTTAACCAAAAATGTATCGAGTTACGGTTTTCTAATACGCTCGATAATAAAAGAGCTTCAATTATTAAATACATGGTGACATCGAACGATTTTGTGCCATATAGGAATCATTTAAATTTGAACGTAAAAAGTATGCATAAAAACAAAAATTGACGAAAAAATGTGTATGTAATTATGTTTATAATCGAACTGAATTATATCTCGGATTGTGATAATGATTGTAACGATACATAGAAGATAATAATAATAATTTCATTACCAATAGCGATAACGATTATGATGACGATGATAGTAAAAGTAGCAGTAGTACTAATAATAATAATGATAATAATAGTGATGATCATGACGACAATAACGGCAGTAAAAATAACACTAACGACTATGATCATAATGTCATTATACAATGAATTGTTATTATGTCACACTATTCGAAAATGTGTACAAAACTTAAATTTAACGTTAATGGATCTGTATAAAATGAATATAGCTAAACGTACAGAGAGTTTCATTTATAAAAAGAGCATTGCATCGTGCAATAATTAAGATTCATTAGCAAATAGTGAAACTTACACACGGCTATCCTTTGATCAAAACATTTCTCATCGTTTGATATGTATGTACATGGGTGTTCGCACAAGAGTGTGTCGATTGACGTAAAATTTATTTCAAGGGCATATTCTCATTTTTTTCAAGCGTATCAAACATGATTTATCTCGATAGTTTTGGTTGAAAGGAACAAAGGGACTAAAGGGAATAAATCGAAATTTAATGGAGAGAAGAGGATAATGTAAAGACAGCAGCAGCAGCAGCAGCAGCGGTGTATCAACATACGTTAACACAGTGATGCAACGAGACTATTCAAGCGTACGTACAAACTTAAATTAAATGCCAATGAAAGAAGAAAAAGTGAGATCTGTTGTTGTTGTTTTTCTTTTGTTACTTTGTTCATCGATCTCAAATTCGAAATGTAAAAATAAACATTACGTTGCGGTAGACTTTATAATACCGTAAGCAATAAACGGTTTGCGTGTCAAAGAATCTACGATTACACCGTTGTATGAACGTTTAATTTCCCGAATGATGGATTACAAACCTAAAAGTATCGTGTTGTATTCACGGATCGTTAGAAAGATGCACGGCATATAACTCACTGCCGCACAAATAAACGTACAAATGTGTCGATTGGAGAAATAAAGTCATTGGTCGTTCGTAGATCCTTATAACTAACTTATACTCGTATATACACTGACAGCGCACGTAACACGTATGCACCGTATTACATAATCTTTCGAGTGAATTTAAACAATATATTACAGAGTTCTTCAATAGGACTATATACACGTAGCGGAGGGGGCTCGGCGAGCGACAAAGAGCGTTCATTTTCGTCGCTTTGGTATTTACAAGAGTAGTGGTTTTTAATCAATCACGCCGAAACATTTTCTACAACGACGTTCGACTTCTTTCAATTCTTCTTTTTCTTTTAGTATTGCATGCATCCACCCACCCACACACACAAGCGCGCGCGCACCCAGAGTAAGAGATTGTAAGGTGAAAGATCGACGCGAAACCGGTCGACATTTACGTATCAAATAACAATAAACGCAAAATACCAAACTTTTTTATTTGGTACGAAAATATGACCGAAAATATTCGAGGAAACGAATAACCATCCTCCCATCTCTCTCTCTCTCCTCTCCCTCCCCATTTTCAATTGTATCAGCAGTCCCTCCGATATTTGAATCGAAGAGGAGCGCGCAACGATGTGTTTTTGTACCAAAAATGTGTCTGCTCGAGTTGAGTCACCAACACAACAACGTTCACATACCACAGGGAGGCATTGGTAATGCTTAAGCGATCGTTTCTTCAGTCTTTCGTTGTAGAGGACTCTTCGTCCGAGTACAACTAATCAACGGACTCTGAAGGGCCTTGACCCCACCGAGATTTCACTCTTGGTGCTTTGTTCGGAGTACAAGAGGCGATACTACCGTCGTCGTTAATCTTCCGCTTGATGCTCAACACGATCCCACTCTTTGGAACGAATTTCGAACGCGAGGATAACATCGTTTTCGATAAATTATTTTCGACATTCGGTGGCGTGGACGGGAATGGTGGGAAATCCTCGTCCTCGAGGCCAGGTGGCTTCGGTTGTTCGGGGGCTATATTTCGTTTGAAAGGTTCTGGAAAGGGACTCTTGTAAGGAGAAGTACTCTCGTGAGATGACGGAGACTCCGAAGCTAAAGCTGACAGTAACGATGGAGAAGAGGAGCAGGTCCCTATGATCGTTGGAAGAGCCTGCGGCTGTGGCTGTGGCTGCGGTTGCGGCGATGTCGTTGTCGATAAACTCGAGGGAACAGAATTTTCGGCCACGATCGATCCTGATGATGCTATTGCTGCTGCTGCGGCGGCGGCAGCAGATGCGGCTGCAACGGCTGCTAATTCCTCTTCAGCTTTTCTGATCAGATCTAGGTCGCTTAAAGAGCTCAACGTACTCTTATTTTCTTTCTCCTTCGAAACCGACTCTCGATGATTAGACGATATATCGAGCGAAGAAGCTTTCTCCGAATTGGTCTTGCCTGATCCGCCGACTGAAAGCTTCACGGCGGGAGGTGACGAGGAATATTTTTCCGAATTTTGGTACATCGAAGAGTTGACTGTGGTTAAAAATGTGGCGCTGGGCTTAGACGGTAGATAAGGGTCTACTTTCGAGCTCTCTTGTCGCTTCACGTTCGCCAAAATTTCTTGCAAATTTGGCGGAATCGTTATATTTGATACTTTCTCAAGAATCGGTTGAGTAAACTTTGAAATGCCCGGAGGTGGTGGCGGTGTGAATGACCTTGCATCGGAAGGACTGTAAGCTTCCTCGCATTCATCATTAACCGGTGGGTCCAGCCCTAAACCCTGAAATCGATACCAATCAAAACATTAATGGTCTTGCTTTGTGTATGCACACAATGAATGAATGAATGAAAGAAAGTAAGAAAAATAGAGGGAGAGAGAAAGTGGTGTGTGTGTGTGTGTGTGTGTGTGTGTGTGTGTGTAAAGATCGAAAATATAAAGGATGGGAGCTACCGATAGATTTTTACTTCTTCTCGATTGTTTCAAACGTTAATATTTCTTTTTTTCTTTTTCCCAGCGAATGGTCACCTGTCACATCATATCAATCATCAGATCAATATATCATTTCAAAGAACGTCGACTACCTGTGTGCTCGTAATTTAAACGACGAAGCGCGACGTTTAAACTTTGAACACGATCGCGTTTAATCGAAAGTACAATTTATGTAATTCTACGAATAGAACAGCTAATTAAGATTTCTATTAAGAAAAATGTGCATGTGCACACATGTATGTGTATGCATCGTATACGGATGCGTACACACACGCGTACATACGTGCATAATGAATATACGCAGACAGAGATGCGCGCGCGCAGCATGCAGGTGCGCGCGCGCAATCTTATACGTAGCAGCACACCTGCTGACAGAGAAGACTTGATTGAAAAAAGGCTGGCAAGAAGTAACGATCCGTGTGTAGCTCGTGGATAGGAATAGGATACCATGGGTAAATCGAAATCAATTTTATTTACAATAGGATAAAAGGAGAAACAATAACATTCGATTTTGTAAAAAATAAATCTTGGTAAAATTCTCACCGGCAGAGTAGGCGTTGATTCACCGAGAAACGACGAACTAATACTTTGTATTTGTTGCTTCTGTTCTTCGATTTGTCTATTTAGTTCCTCCATTTTTCGTTGGAGTTCGTTCGAATTTTTACTGGAAGAAATAATACCGTTATCGATCGTGGTACCATCGATACTCATTGAATTAGACATGGAGGATATGACGGTTGCCGTCGACGTCGAAGAAGCTCGCAAGTCGAGATCGACCTCCTGCTCCTCCTCGTCCATCTGACCGGGACTATAGGGCTCGTCACCGTCGTCCTCGATCGGTACCTTGCCTGGCGAGGAGGTAAGATCGATTTTCGAAGACAATTCCGGCACGATTTTACATATGGTTGCGGTATCGAGCAACGTACTCCTCGACATGCCTATGTGCGCCCTGTTCAAGCTGTCCAGGGTGGTTTGCGTGACAGGATGATGTTGCTTCTCTTTCGCAGATTCTGTTGTTTCCCGTTGCATTCCCCCCGTCGCTCCTCCTTTGTGATATGCATTCGTAGTAGTGGCCGCCGAGGGAGACGAGGACGCCGCGATAGTCGGTGTCGCCGTAGACGTAATCGTGGCTGTGATCATCGCCATGTTCCCACTCATAGGCTTGTCCTTCGAACCGGTCACCATCATCAACGGGGGTGTGTAACTTCGATCGGTATCCTTTTTCGACAATTTCATCGGTACGCTCGAAGAGGTTATACCGGCCGCGAGACGTTTCCGCTTGTTGCGAACGATGATCCCTAAAAGGAGATGCGGCCTGTGCTCCTCGAAACCGGGCCCGTTCAACGGCAAGAGAACCTGAGGTATCGTGCTTTGACTCGAGAAAGGCATTATATAAAAATCCTTTATATTCTTCGAGACATTTCCAACCACTCCGAGTCGACTTCTACTGTTCAAATAGCTATAGAGCGTTATGTACGGGATCTTTTCTTCGTCGTTCGCCGCGGTCAATCGAATCACCAGAATCTCTTTCGAACCGGTCTTCTTCATCTTCGAGATGTAATCCCAAACAGTCTCGTGACTTATTCTCCCAACAACGTCAACCGTGTCTGGCAAATCGTCCATCAAATCCTTCGCGTGACCGCTCACTTCTTGCGCGGTAATGAAAAACTTTGCTACGTCCACCATATTAACGAACCCCCTCCAAACTGTTTGCCATCCTCCCCCACCTTTCGGAGTTTCCCTTTCAACTGTCATTCCTTGTTCTTGTTCCCTTTCCTTGTCAATTTCTTCGTTAATGTCCGGCGTTTTAATAGTAACCGTTGACGTTGGCTCTCTGTCCGACACGTCGGAATCGTTCCCTCCGTCGATCGTGTTGTTGCTGGTCATCTCGTCCTCGACGTGCCGCCAAAGACGGTCATCGATCGACTTCTCTCCCGATGTTCCCATCGTCAAACCCGACTGAAACTCCTCTTTCTTTTCCGTCTCCCGCTTCTTCTCCTCCTCATCGTCATCCTCCTCTTCGCCCCTTTTCTCTGCATCCTTCGACAGATCGTAGTGAAGGAAACTGTCGCTGCCGCGATTTCTCGAACTGTTCTCGTTGCTTCTGTGCCGTTCTCGTTCCCTCTCCCTCTCCCTCTCCTTCTGTTTCGTCGTCTTCTCTCTGCTGCTCCTCTCGCGGACCTTCGATTTCTCCCGAGTTCTAGTTCTTGACCGTTCTCGTTCCCGTTCTCGCTCCCGACCCCTATCCCGTTCTTTATCCTTGTCGCGATCCTTCTCTCTCTCCCGTTTACCTTCTTTATCACGAGACTTCCTCTCTCTGCTCTTCTCCCGAGTCTTACTGCGTTCTCTATCCTCTCTACCGTGCTTGTTGTGCCTACTTCTACTCATACTCCTACCCCGCCTACTATCGCTTGTTTTCTTCTCCCTTCCCCTTTCTTTCTCCTTGTCCCTTTCCTTGTCTTTCTCCTTCTCCCTGCCCCTGTCCTTGTCCTTATCCTTTCTTCTCTTATCGTCCAAACTCCTTGACTTTTTACCGTCTTCCTTTACTCGCGACCTGTCCTCCCCTTCGTTCATCCTCTCCAACTCCTTTTCCGTATCGTCCACGGTCGACGTTATACTATCCGCACTGTTCAGTGCAGTCACGATATCTTGCACGGGAGTTTTCGGGTCAACGTGATCGATACCACCGTCGTTCTCGATTATTTGCTCGCCTTTGTGCGTTTTAACTACGATGGATTTCGCTTGAGCCATTAAATCTAACTCGTTCTTCTTGATCATTTCTAACTGATGCTTCGTCTCCTTTTCACGCCATTCCGCCAATTCTTGACTAGCCATCTCGTCAGGACTTAGCCTCACAACCGCGTCCGGCGTCAACGATCTATCGGCAATTTTTCGGAACAATGTCAAATTTTTCGTGTCCTTTATGTTGAACACCAAGCTTCTGTACTTCGCTTTGTATTTTGCCCCAGTGTCTTTGAAGTATTTATACAATTCCAACTCGATGTTGTAAGCTAGATCAATTATTTCCTCGTTCGTAAGCTTCAAATCTTCCGTTTCTTTTATACGGCTAGACAGTAACTCTGTCAAAGTTTTTCGTATGTTTACTCGAATCGGTTCGGTTTCAGGTTTCTTCTGTGGACTAGGTTTCACCTGCTGTTGCTTCGATTGCAAGCTAGCCTGTTTCAATTCTTGTTTCTTCATGTTTGCCGCCGTTTGCTTTGGCGACACTACGCCGCTCAGTTGCTTCGTTTGCGCCTGACCAACCGATTTTGCAGTTGCAGTTTTCAACAAAAGGGGACTCTTGTTCGTCTGAGGCAGTAACATTTGCTTCATTTGTATTGTTTTTGTGCTTGACGCTTGAATCTGTTGTTGTTGTGGTTGCTGTTGCGGTTGCTGCTGCTGCTGCTGCTGTAGTTGTTGCAGTTGTTGTTGCTGTTGTCCACCGGAGATTACCGTGATCTTTTTATTTCCCGCCGTTAAAATCATTTGCTTAGAACCTGGTACTTTTGTATACGTCATCTTCGGAAGATTTTGCCCTTTTACGGGTGATAGTAACGTAGACTTTCCCTTGAAGCACATTTTTTTCAGTGTTTAATACGCTTTAACGACAACTGTACGAAATACGAAAGGCAAGTGACGCGAAAAAGGATTTCCATACTTACCATTTTACCAGGTATTTGTGTTTGTATTGTCGATATTGTTTTCCCTATTTGCACTGTACCAAGATTATTTGTTCCAACAACTTCAAACGTGGGATGCTCCTTTAACCATGCGCGCAAATTTGATCTTGTCGGTGCATCAGAACCTTCAGAAATAATAAAAGAAAAGAGAAGAGAAACAATCTTCTCTCTACCTCCTCCTCTCATTATTGCAAATATCATCGTTAACTAACGTCGCTAACTTACCAGTTAATACTCTTCCAGATTTTCTCTCAAACACGATAACTCTAGCGTCAATTTTTGGCTTTGCGGCAGGATCAAACGGTGACGCCCTTGTTCCCTTCGGACTAATCGTTGGTCCTGTTGCTGCTACTGGTTTGTCTTTGGTCAACGTTTCTTGGGCATGTGCGAGTATACACGCGTCGGAGCAATAAATGCTCGAGTTTCTTGCTTCTTTTTTACAAACGACACATTGCATACCACTGGAATATTGAACACTGTCGTAATCGCAAGCGGAATGAATCGAAGACGACGTCTCTCTACCAAATGATGTTTGATGAAGAGTAGCAAGGTTTTTCGAGTTATCGGATACTGCGTTAGATTGGATCCGTTGTTGCTTCCCAGAAACGTTTTGTATATTCATTTTAGCTTTTGCTTCTTCGTCTTTTTTCTTCGAGCAATTCGGGCATACCCATTCTATTCCCTTTTCCTCCATTTGTTGTCCTAGAATAACCAAGATAACGAAAATAAACATAGAGAAGTATTAACGACAACCGCAACAAACAACTGGGGTGTTATTCTTCTATGAAAGTAGCTGAACAGTTAGCTGATTTTTCTTAATCTTACCCATGGCTTTGCTCACGTGTACGCATTTCCCATGAAACCAATCTTCGCATACGTCGCAACAAATCATAAAGCGATTGTTATGCGGTCGCTTGCATATACACCAAAGTCTATCAGGATCATCTTCTGAATCTGAATTATCTTCTTCTTCTTCTTCTTCTTCTTCTTCTTCTTCTTCTTCTTCTTCTTCTTCTTCTTCTTCTTCTTCTTCTTCTTCTTCTTCTTCTTCTTCTTCTTCTTCTTCTTCTTCTTCTTCTTCTTCTTCTTCTTCTTCTTCTTCCTCCTCCTCCTCCTCCTCCTCCTCCTCCTCCGCCTCCTCTATTACCCCTTCCTCCTCCCCTGCATCTTCCTTCTCAATTTGCTTTCTTTCCTCGTCTTCTACTCCCTCTTCCTCCTCCTCCTCCTCCTCCTCCTCCACCTCCTCTTCTTCCTCTTCCAGGTTTTCCTCCTCTTTTTCCATTCCAATGGCATTTTCACTTTGGTCTCCTCCTTCATCTACAATATTCGGGCGAATTTCGTGCTTGACAGATTGCGACGGCCTTTGTTGTTGTACGCTGTAACTGTGGGTAAATACCAAAGGTAATATGATTAAACGTTCAAACTTCAAATTATCGCACAATCCATTCATTTTCTTCGACTTCAACTTCAACTTCGTTTCACTTACTTAAGCTTTTCCGTTCGTTTCACAAGTTCAAAAGTTTTTTGAACAGCTTCAGTTTTCGCTTGTAATCTTTTGCTCCGAGTTGCCGGTGCCTCGATAGGAGGTAATGTGATTACCCGTCCACCGCGAATTATCTGAATAGGTTCCTTATCCTCCTTCCCAACTTTCCTTCCCGATTCTCTAGATACATTTGTGCTCGCATTGCTTGCTGTCACGACTGTTGTTGTGCTTGACATAGTTGCTGTTACGATTATTGCCGTAGGAGCATCACCCAACGGTTTGGTTCCTTCTGGCTCGGACGTGATCAAAGGTGGGATAAGTATATTATTCGAGGTTAATGACTCGGGTGTTGCACTTCCTCCTTGTTCGACCAACGCAGCCTACAGAGTTGCAGAATGTAAAATGAATGGGATTAAATATAAAAGAGAAAAAAATAAGTACGACTTTTTTTTCCCTTTTTTCATTTTGCCAAATAAAGTATAAAATGTTCGGTACTAAGATTTGCGAGAAAGTGTACTGGTATTGTTAAAAATGAAAATCTTAATACATGTTCGGCCAAGTCGACACCAAGTTCTTCTTGTAGCAGCAATGCTTCTGCGAGTAACTCTTCTTCGTGCTTACTAGCTTCCATTTCCAATGTAGCTAGCAAATGCTCCTCACCTTCTATAATACCACCTAAAAGGTACATGGCATTAGCCAAGTACAATGAATCGCGATCGGTTCAATGATAATCTCCCTTTAAAATCCGCGCTTACCAGAATCCAAAGTAGGCTGTATTTCTTCTGTCGCATTCGTTTTTATACCTGGTTTAGATTCTACTTCTTGATTTTGTACCAAAGCAACGCCAGTTTCCCGCTTATCCACCACGATATGGGTTTCCAAAACCTGCTATAGCAGAAATTTTACACGATTAACTCGATTCCGTAACAATTTTTTATGTATCAACATGAGCACAAACCTGAACGATTTGGTGCTGCTAAAGATGTCGATATAGATGATGACGACGACGACGACGACGACGACGACGAAGACGACGAGGACGAGGAGGAGGAGGAGGAGGAGGAGGAGGAGGAGGAGGACGAGGAGGACGACGACGACGAAGACGATGACGATGACGAATGTGTCGCTTGTTGTGTAAGAGCATTTCCACTTGCAACTGTCGATGGTGTCGTAGAAATCAACGATGTCACCACGTTTTCTTGAATTTTCGATTCGCCATTTGAACCGACGCGCCGTATAATGTCCGGAGTCGAGAAAAGAGCAGGTCCTAAGCTATCTACCATGTACGCTGGCGATTTACGATTCTCTTTCTTCAGATGTTTTTTTGTGCCTACAAGCAGATTGAAACTTCATTCGAAATATCCTCTTAGTGCGAGTATTATACGCAAAATAACTAATACAATATTGAAAAGCAATGTTAATGGTATTAACCAACCATCGAAAACTTTGTTATCCGTTGCTTTCCCCGAATCGATTTCCGTTTTTGTAACAGCATCTACTAAACCGTCCGATTTTCTTTTCTCTTTCTTCGAATCGCAAGATTTTATTTTCAATATAGCAGCAGCAGGCGAAGTCACTTTCACCGGTTGCTGCGGCTGCTGTTGTTGTTGTGGCTGTTGCACAGTTGACGTTTGATTTTGTATCACAGCAACAGACTGTTGCGTCGGAGACACTTGTGGTATTGCTCCCTTCATTTGTGCAACTGATACGTTCGATGTTATTGTTTTGGTAGTTACAGGTATTTGAAGCAGTTTACCATCTTTCGTAGCAAAGAATTTGGCCCCAGTTTGACCCAGAAATTTCCCTTTGGGAAGAACCACTTGCTTCTTTATGTCGATATTTTTTAGGTCATTTGGCTTCATGAGCACTTGTTTTTGTACAAACGTTACTTTCTGATTACTTCTTCCTTGTCCAGGCTTTGTAAGAATCATATCGCCCTTAATCATATTAGCATTGATCAAATTTGCTTTAACTTGATTCGTCGTTTGCAACGGTTTGTCAAAATTGACCGGAACATCTTCGCTCATCGCTGAAGACGATTCGATACGTTGCGATTCCTCTTTCTTCCGTCCAACGGCAGTTTTAAATTGTCTCTTACCTTTAACGAGACCAAATCCTCCTAATGAAATGATAATAATAATTTATTGTTACCATTCATACAACAAATTCAACAAATTCACACAGCAATTTCAGGTATATCTACTATACACATACATCATCTTACCTAATTTCTCGTCTTTTTCTGGACTCTTCATAGCATTCACGGCAGCAGCCATTTCCATGTCTAATCGACGAACTTGCTCCATATCCATTTGTTTATTGGAACCTCTCCTACGAGTGGCTGTCATACTTCCTCCTCTGGTTGTAAGACCTTTCCTACCACCTCTAGCTCTCATACCGCCTCTTTTAGGACCTCGCGGACCAAAGTCAGAGTCATTGTCAGATGGTGGATCTGAATCGGACGATTCCGTGGATGATGATGTTATCTCATCTTCATCCTCGTCATTAGATCTTGCTTGATCTAATCAAAGAAAGAACGGTAATAATCACGATGCAAACAGTGTTTGTTACTACAACACATCTGATGAAAATGGATGATTACGTTTTCCAATACCCTGCTGCTGCTGCTGCTGCTGCTGTTGTTGTTGTTGTTGCTGCATTAGACCTGTTAAGTTTCTCGGTACAGTGTGTGTGACAGATTTAGGTGTACTGGTTATACCGACGGATGACTTTGAATTGTTATACACGGAAACAGAGGCTGGTAGAGGATTTTTTCGCGGTCGGCCTACCGGTTTGCCCTGAAACAAATAACGTAACGATCAATTCATCGAGATTCGAAATCGTACATGCCAACTCCCATTGTAGTACACTCACAGTTTTTCCAACAACTTTCGGTTTTATTACGATTGTATTCTCGGTATCAGCACCGATAGGCGATGACGTTTTAGATGTACCAGGAGCAGGCGACAGTTGTCGCGCATATTGTAAACCATCGTCGGAAGTGGGTGAATCGATAACAGGTAATGGATCCCTTGGCTTAGGATCAGAAGGTGATAACCTACTTGTGTAGCAATGATCCAATTTAACGCTATACCTTATGGAGTTTTGTTGCTCTTCTACCGTTAACATATCTGTGAAATATGTCAGAGAAATTTATCGTTGGATCGATATGTTTAATTTGAATTATTGAAATGCAACAAAGAGGATAGTTGGTTAGGTACCAAGCATTGCTGTAACGTTTTCTCCAAGAATCTGTTTCGCCTCTTCGCTTTGTAAAGCTGTTTCCAACCGTTCCAACTGTTCCGGATCCATCTCCATGAAGGGATCGACCAAACTACTCGCATCTGTGGAAGTGCCTGTAGAATTTACCGCTGCAGATGTAAAAGACGGAGGATCTACGGTTAAAGTGATGTCTCCATTTTCTGTGTCTGTCTCCGCCTGGCCTACTCTAACAACGCTAACATTCGCATTGGATTGATTCACTGAAAATCAACGCCAACATCTGATGTGTCTGATGGATGAAGAATCTTCATCGAATGACAAACAACAAAACTTACGGATTAAGCTTTGCAAAGTTTCTTGGTCAACGGATATCGTACCATCGTCATTGACAATGATAATTAACGTATCGTCCTTCTTCTCTGATCCACCCTCCGGTGGCTCGATAACGTACGAGCTAGACATTTTTTTCTAAGCTAATGGAAACGTCGCAATATTTTCGATTTTCAACGAATTGGTCGTGTGAAAAACAGCAATTATCGTATCGTACTCGTATCGCGAATCGAACGTGTTCGATTGAAAGAAATTGTGCGAGTGGTGCCCTTGGAAGGGAAGAACAACGTTTGAACTAGCATCGAGAGTGCCGGAAGGAAATAAGCGAGAGTTCCGATTAATCAGACACGTTGTTGTTGGTTACATGGAAATGCAGTTTCGCTCGTGTGTGATACAAGCCGGATAAGAGACATCGAAGTAAATTGGACGCAACAAATTTTCAACGATCGGTCGGAGAAAGAGTGAAAAATGAGGGGAAAAGTGGAATGGTAGAAGGGAAAATTTGTGAAACATACAGTGTCGTGTGTGATTCACGTTCGTCGCGTTATTACCTTCTTTGCGAGTGTACATACGACGATGAAAACTTTCAACATCACAATTGCCACAGGGTATTTGAAAAATATGAAATTAAAGAGATATTAATCGGTGATAAGGAAGTTAAATACACAGCACCTTTAATGTCACACTTTGTAAAAGACATAACGTTCACGGTCAAGTAAACAGTACCGCCAAGAAGAGGATAGTCGCCATTTTGTTTGAGTCAGCCAAGTAACGTTTCCCAATAGTTTTCACTCAACCGTCGTTGTTTCGTTGTTATTAGGTTATTCCAAAGGAGGGGTATTACTATAAAACCTCTTCCACAGGATTTTCATGAAAATAACGTAATTACCGGAGAAATGAAACTTCTTTTCAACGATACATGATGTTACGGATGCACTTGTACCTTTCTACACACACTGAGACGCTGCGCGCTTCTCGTTGCGCAACAGCAAGAAGAGCAAAGCAGTAGCGCTGTGGCACGTTAAACGTATCACGTGAAATTGTTGTCGTCGGTGGTATACAATTTTGATAAATCTGATAACTGTTGATCCTCTTTCGTATTCTGTAACACATTCACTTACCATTTACAATTTATCCGTAACTGGAGATTTTTCAAGAATAGCAGTTTCATTCATTCTCCGTGAAATATGGCATACACATACGTGTATTCGATCTATCAAACTTTTCGAACGATAGTCATATGTTACTTTTTCCTCACCATCCTCTATCCCCCCTTCTTCTTTCGTATTTTGAAATCACACAAGAACTGTACAATTGTTGTTGCATTAATAAGAAGAATTTTTAGGTGTGATAAAAAAATGATTTTCTATCGCACGCACCTTTGATAGGTATGTACCGACATCGAGAAAATCGTATATAAAAAGGGACATAAAAGTTGGAATTAGAATTAGAAGAGTTACGATAAAGGTAAAAAGAAGAATGGAGGTTAGGAGAAATAGAATGAAGCGATACACAGCGGAGAATGAACACATCTGTAACGCGTGTCGCACGTGTCGTTCATGGTTTGTGTTGCGTTAAGAAGAGGAAGGGAAGGGGAGGAGGGAGTTTTAATAAAAGATCAGACGCGAATGAATTGAGTAAAAAGAAAATGGTAAGGAATATATTTATTCGGTGATTTGTAAAATTTGTCGAAATGGAGAAGATGAAAAGTGGAGGAACGATAGAATCTGATAGTACGACAAAAACAAAGAAACGAAAACGTGGAATTGTATATCTCTCTAACATAGCCAAGTATATGACAATTACGAAAATTCGTGAATTATTTTCGGTGTACGGGAAAGTTGGAAGGATTTACTTACAGTTGGCAGAAAATGGTTAGTTGTCACGTAGAAAGCAGCAAAATATGTTGGAAAAATGATGTTTCTCTGCGAAACATAACCTTCATTGTATAGTTGTTGTTTTTCTATCCAATTGGAACAATTTTCTTAAAACTTTTCAATTTTTTTCAAACTTTTGTTCTTCATAATTGTAACAATTGGGAAATTTTTCGTCGATTAGTATCGAATGCTGTACAGAATCTATTTTCAGAAATGGAACGGGGAAGTAAACCGAAGAAGCGAAAGAAAATGTGCGTAAAATTGTTTACCGAAGGCTGGGTTGAATTTGAAAGTAAAAAAGTAGCGAAATATGTTGCATCCACACTGAACAACGCACAGATATCTACTAGGAAGAAGAGCAAATTTTACGACGTTATTTGGAACATCAAATATCTGCCAAGGTAAGAAAATAAGAATAAATTTGTACTGTTGTTCGATATAAGAGGATGTCTAACATAATCCTGTGCTTAATAGATTTAAATGGATACATTTGAGCGAGCGTTTAGCGTACGAGCGTGCAGTACGTAAACAAAGGCTACGAACTGAAATTGAACAGGCGAAACGAGAAGCCAGTTTCTTTTCTCAGAACGTGGATAGAAGTAGAACATTGCGAAAGAAGCAGTCACAATATGGCAATAGCCTTTTCATACCACCTATGATAAAACAGAGGGATACGGATGCTGAAATCAGAAGCAGAAAGGAAAGCGAACCTACCACAACCAAGGACAGGACAGTTTTCCTAAAATCCTTATTCGGATGAAGGCTTCGACATGAGTTGGTTACTTATAGAAGAAAGGAAGAGTTTTGGCCGAAGGAGGAGCAAAGTTTTCTTTCTTTAGTTTTCTTTAAATCGAGTTACCTTAAGTCAATCGACGAACGTACAAATGTTGAACTACTTTGTAACGGGAGTACTTTCTCGGAGAGCTTCGTTTCAATGTATCTAATATGAAAAGAAAGGAAGAAGGAGAAGAGATAATAATAAACGATATTCTTAACGTTCTTTGTTGTATCCTTCCCTTTATTACACGCGTCGGTATAGATAAATGGAATTTGTTCGCTCGACTACTATTCATCGGACTTGATCACATCAGATTTCATCATATACTTGAGGGAAGAAAAGGCCGAAGATTCCAGGTGGCTACAACATTTTGATCGTGTTGCGTTAAATCTTGTAACGTTTGGGGATCTGAAAGTGACACATTAACGTTTAATTCCAGCTAATCGATGAAAGTAAGAGTCGAAGAGAAAGAGTTTCATAGAATTGGCGTGTGTGTATATTATATACCATTAGTTCGTAGGTAATTATTCAGTGGTCCTCTTAAAACATTAATTGGTATTGCCATGCATAATTTTGGATAAGAAATCGAGCCGTTTGTCGAGGCAGCGTTGCAAACAATTAATCCGAGCATTTGAAAGTCGGTGCGGCGAACAATAGGTCCACCGCTGACGCCGTTCTGTATACAGCAATTCGTTTGTAACATGCAACTCAATGTCTTTGACACTATTCCGCTGGTAATAGTGGGTGATCTGCCTTTCGAGGAGAATGGGAATGCTATTGAAAGCACTTGTTCCCCTGTGAATTGCGGAATTCAATCTGTAAACTACGTATACCGCCGAGCAATGTTAGATGATTAAATTTGTTTCATTTAATATGCGTATCGGATCGCACGAGGTGTATCTTTCTGCCGTATCTATCTGTATGCCTTTTAATTTGTCCAGTATTTTTCTATCTAATTCGTATTATAGTATTTTCTATCTAATAATAGAGGCGCTCATCAGGCTCAATTGAAAGGAGGAATTTGAAAGACGAGCGAAAGAAATATGTAGCAGAGGCGTGCGGGCGGGTAGTCGGTCGGTCGGGAGAAGGAGAGTGAGAAAGAGGGATGGATGTCCGCGACATTGGTTCGATACCGTCGACGAAACGTCGATTCTGCCCCCCGTCGATCAATTGACTCAATTTAGACCTGGTTATTTTTCCGTCAATGAAAGAAGGTCAGTGTTTCGTCCCTTGCAACGTTCGGCGCCGCGATGTCGCCTTATACGCGATGATCTTCCTATATTCTTAATTCTTATTTTCATTACCGTTAACCAGCCGGAATAACCTCCAATGGTGTGTGGTGGATGCGTTACAAGGATGCCTCGATTCTCGATATAACCGAACGGCTGGCTAACTGTTAATACGAACGACTGTGATAGTGACGACACCAATACGGTTTCGTTTGTTCCTCCTCGTTTCGACGACGAGCAACTGATTGCAATTCTTTCACTCTACACCTTGTCTTGTTGTCATCAACTTACCCTTACGTGCAGGTCTATCGGCAAGTTTGATAGCTTTCATCGGGGGTTTCTCGAATTTCGAATCGATTCTCAACACAGCGATGTCGTAAGGTTGATTGTCCGGTGTTTTGTAGATCAACTTTCCCTCCGCAAACCATTCGGACCTCCGTTTGCACGATGCGATACTCGTCATTGTAGCAAATTGAACGATTGTGTTCGGTGCCTAGAAACTAAGCTGGATTAAACGAAAGTAGAAAAAAGGAAGATACATATAGGTATCGTGGGAGATGTATGTACTCAGATACATACCGTAGTAAGAACGTGCGCGCATGTGACGAACGTTCCACTTTGCTCATCCACGAGAATACCGGTACCCCAATTTGGTCCGCACTTTACGATCGCGACACTCTTTTCAAGGGCGCCTGAAGAGGAAGAGAACAAGGATTTTTCGTAAGGGAGCACGATTACGGCGAGGCGTGAGAAATATGGACGTACGTACCAATTTCGAGGCGATTTCGCCAGGTGAAAGGGAAAACGGTGCAGGTCAAGTATTGTGGATACTCGTCTTTTATGATTTGACTTTGGAGAATTAGCTTCAAGGATGGTAAGAGGTTCACAGCGAAAGTACAATTTGGCCATTCGCCGCGGTAACAGCTCGACGATGCGATCACCATGCCGCAAATATTTCTATCGCCACTTGTGTGATAGGATCGAGTGAAGTATTGGCGCGAGGTCGAGCAGAGAACATGGAACGAATAGAGAAGAGGCTAGAGGCTAGAGAGAAAAGCCAAGGAAAAGATTGATTACCGATCGTTCACCAAGAATAGAGGACTGCCCTCGCAACCAGGAAAAGCAGCCACGTCCATTAGGATGAGACATTGTTCGGTTCCGAGTAAATTGCCAATAATTCCGCGGCTTATAGAATCGGCAAAGAAAAGATTTTCGAAAGGTGTTGAAATCAATTCAACGACAGCTCCCTTTTTAAGTTTACCACCGATCGCCGTTTGTTTCGTAAGTTCCCGTAAAACTCGTTCAATTTCCGCTTTATCCGATTCTTCCTCTTTCCCCGTCGATACAACGGATTCACGCTTGATTAGTAGAAAAACTGGTAATAAAAGACGACAAACAGTCCAACTTTCGAAAGAGTGGTCGAAAGTGTCTTTCAACAGTGGACATATCCAGAAAGCTACCACCTTTCCTGCGTCCCCCGATGAATCGTCACGATGTATTCGAAAGGTGAAGTCGTCGGTCGGTATGCCGAGTTCCGATGCCCCAAGCATGGTTAAATCTCCAGGACGCCAAGTTCTCAAGAGGTGGACGAATTTCGGAGATCGAGCAAGAATAGGAGCTAATATGGAACCATGAGCGAGCACCCAGCATTTTGCTATTGAGATGCCGGAATGGCCGCACCAAGGTATCGAATTCATGTCCATCGAAGACGCATGCGACAGGAACACGTGTACTGGCATAACGTCCACGTCCCTTTTCCAATCGGTGGCCTGTTCTACAAAAGCAAGAAGAACGAGGGTGAAGTAAAACTTTTTTCAAAGTACGATAAAGAACTTTCGCGTGTTCCAAGGATCACAAAAATAAAATGTCAGTATACTTAATCGTCTCGTTGTCCAATACGAGGAAACGTAATTCGCAGATGTATGTATGTACAATCTGCTAGAAGAGAAAACACCTACCCTTCCTCTCTTTCTTTTGCGAGAGGAGAGATGCGCTCTACATACATACGTACTTACATACATATGTACGTATTGTTTTCATTTGGTTAGCGTCAATTAGTTGTTATTTCTTTTGAAACGCCAGCACTGCATGTGTTTGCTGGTTACAGTGGTTCGGTATTCTCCGCACCCTCGGCATCCACTCGACGACGACGGCGGCACGTGTACTTGAGGCAATTTCTTCGTCGTTCCACGTGTATCCTAAAATTGTTGTCGATCAACTATCTTTTTGTTCTGCCGTCGACGCCCACAGTTTCACCGTTTCCCTTCGTCAATTCCCGAAATATACTTCATACCTTGCGACATTGTGTCACGCGCGCCTACATACAATCTCGAGAAAATAAATTTGAAACGACGCGACGATCGAAGGAAGATCGTTCGAGAGAGTAAGAAGAGAGATGATATAAGACGTTGAGTAAAGAACGAATGAAGCTTAGAAGGGAGAGGAGAAGGGTGAGGGATGCGATAGTAAGAAGGTAAGCAAGCAAGGAAGTAAAGGAAACAAGGGAGGGAGAGAGAGAGAGTGGGTGTGTAGGTAGAGAAAAAAAGAGCTCGCGGCGGACAAGACGTAAGCTACTCGTTATTTGCAAGGAAGAAGATTGCAGGCTCTATTTCTGCCTGTTCGCAATTAGGCGGGCAGCTGAGGTGGTGCCGAGGGAGGTAACTCGAAGCATAGGGAGGGAGGGGGCAGCGATAACACGGTGATTCTGTGGGTAAGTTGAAGGGGTGGCGCAGAAAGGGGTTCTCCCTGAAAGAGAAGGACGCGCGCACCGAACACCCGCCGAGAGGTGTATATTAGACGCGGAACGCCGCGACGCCCGTATCAGAAGGATTTCGTACGTTGTGCCGTTGCTGCCATTCAAGGAAGAGAGCGTATCAAGGTACGTCTTTCGAGATACCGATCAAAAGATACTTTCTGCCTGTTGTTATCTCGATCGACACCAGAGTTCCGGTTTTGCAAACGATTCTGCCTTCGTAACGTTGTCATTGTCTTTAAGGTCCGGGTTCGTCCTCGGTATTCAGTGTCGAGTGTCAAGTGTCGCATATCTAAGTGTATCGAGTATCGTGTATCGTGTCGTGACTGGGGAATGGAGCGAGAAAATCGAATGAAACAGGACAACGAACAGTATACTATACATACATGTATAGTCGAGTCGCGAGTCAAGTCGCAAGTCGAGTCCAATCCAACCGAGTTGCATCGGGGTATTGGATAGGGGGTTGTAGTATATTCTTAATTGAAATTTTTTTTCTTTTATATCGGTTCTCTCTGTACGAGAGAACGTTCATCGGTTGTTACGCTCGCATTCCATTTCGGAGTAAATTCGTGTCAATGAATGGACAGTTGTTTAAGAGCGGGCGCGTGTACTAGCTCTTCATCTGCATACATACATACATATATCGGTACATTTGTTTACCTGTATCGAGGAAATAACCAAGTTCTCTCGCTTCCTCGAATCGTGATTCGAATTTGCAGTAATCACATCTTGACGAATGTCACACCGAGAAAAGTCGTCGACAAAGTCGACGGCTGGCCAATGGTGTGTCCAACTATAATACATACCGTTTCTCGGGCTCTACGAAATTTACAAATCCTTTATCACTCGATCAACATTGCTAATTTATTTTTACGAAATACGAAGGTTCGATCGCGATGCCTTGACCCAACGACCAAGGTCGATATAACACGGAGCCGATCAGCGCTTCGTTCTGTCGACGATTAAGTGGGGATAGAAATATCCTCTTTCTTTCGTACCAACTTGAATAAATGTAGTTAATATCGCGCTAAATTTCGGACGTCACATTTTTACGATAGATGTATGTACATATTCACTCGTGTTTTCTATCTCCTCGAAACGCATTCGCCCACAGTCTTTCTGGTGCCGTAGATCAGTCTTGTTACGATCGATGAGCATCGATTGCATCGACCAATGATGTAATCGAATAGAGACGGATGATGTAATGTGAAAAATCAGAAAGCGTGGACGAAAATAGCACGAGCCTTATCGAAGAAAAACTTGATCGATTTTCGTCGCGGAAAATAAAAATATAGCAGCCATCCTGATTATTCATGCGTAACGGTCGTGTTTTCAAAACTCGTCGAATGGCGTTTCATTTTTACGTATTAACCGAGAAAAGCGCATACGTTAAACGTAAAAAATGAATCTTTCATAGGTGGTAATTATCAATCGGCATACCACAACTATCGTATCCTTCTTCTCTTTTCTCCTTTTCGTTTCTTTGTTTCGGTTGTACGAAAGAGAGGATCGTCGATTCGTCAAGTCGTACGGCACGATGATCTAAAATCTAAAAGGAGAGAGAAAAGTTGGAGGAAATATTCGATTGAAGATCGCGCTCTCGAATGTGAGCGGTACGATAATCGCGCGTTGAGGTTACCAGCGTGCGAGCGACAGATCGTCCGACCGACCGACCGACCGACCGACCGTAGACCGATCGAACAAACACCGATTCAGAAAGCTATTCTGGGAATTTGCTACGGAACTCGAAGGCGAGCTACTTTCCGTTTTCAGAGAAGTCGCCGAGTTATTTATAGCTCAGTCCTATCGTGGTCCGTTTGTCGGAAAAGGATATTCCGTCTTTCTCCCGTTTCTCTTTTTCTTCCTTACGAACCTCTTCCTTTCGTAGAATCTTTACTCCAAATACTGCTTAAACTACTCGACGAGTGCAACCCTCTCCCCTTCATCTACCCCCTTCACGCCCCTTCTCAAGCAACCGGATTAGACATCATTTACCGAACGTATCCCGAGTTAGTTGTTAGAAAGTACCGGCTTGAAAGGTAATAATTAAGCAACGGAAGGAACTTGGTAGGAGCGAAGTGGAACGGAGGTTCGGAACTAGACGCAGCGGCTCGTTTCAAATTGTTTCTATGTTTCCGCGATACGGCGATTAACGATCACATACACGATCGACTTCGATGCTTCGACACGATAGAAAGGTTTCGTTTCGTTTCGCTCGTATTGAGAAAATGTTGTTGGACTTCGGTCTCCGGGGAATGAAACTGAGGCACGCGGTATTCGAGAGAGGGAAAAACTCGAATCGGAGCGGACCGCATAATGCTTTACACGTACCAGTAAATGGAGTAACCTTTCCGTTGTGACTCGACACGGTTCGCCGCGAGAGAACACGAGCACACGCGTGCAAAGGTACAACTGAAAGACGACGAACGAAGGAGATTGGAGGAGGTGGGGTGGGGGAGATGGGTGGATAGGGTAGAGGGTGGAGGGAGGAATGGATGGATGGATGGATGGATGGATGGATGGATGGATGGATGGATGGGTGGATGGTGAGGTGGGTGAAGTCTGATCAGATCAAGTGAGGTGAGGTTAGGTCACGTGAGATAAGGCGAGGAGAGGTGAGGTGAGGTGAGGTGAGGTGAGGTGAGGTGAGGTGAGGTGAGGTGAGGTGAGGTGAGGTGAGGTGAGGTGAGGTGAGGTGAGGTGAGGTGAGGTGAGGTGAGGTGAGGTGAGGTGAGGTGAGGTGAGGTGAGGTGAGGTGAGGTGAGGTGAGGTGAGGTGAGGTGAGGTGAGGTGAGGTGAGGCGAGGCGTGGCAAGGTGTGGTGGGGTGAGGTGAGGTGTGGTGTGGTGTGGTGTGGTGTGGTGTGGTGTGGTGTGGTGTGGTGTGGTGTGGTAAGGTGTGGTGAGGTGAGACGAGGTAGGGTGAGGTGAGGCGAGGTGTAGTGAAGTAAGCATCAGAGGAGGGAGTTAGCAATGAACGGTTGAAGCGCGTAAGAGTAACCTAGGCTGATCGTAGTTGTTTCGAGTGGCCGCTTGACTCGCACAGGAGGGTCTTTTAACCGTCCATTCGCGTTAAGTGGCAGTGGTACCTACAGAGGGGCTCGACCGCAATAG